ATTTATTTATTTATTTTGGATTTTGGGTATTTGCATATATGTACAATACCTTAGAGATGGGACCCAAGTCCAAACATAAAATTCATTGATGTTTCATATGCACCTTATACACAGCTTGAAGGCAATTTTATACAATATTTTAAAAATGCATGCACAACATAAAAATATTTTTGTGCATGAAACAAGGTTTGTGCACATTGAACCGTCAGAGAGCCACCCATGAAAAACATTTTGGATTTTGGAGCATTTTTGGGTTTTGGGATTATGGGTAAGGTAGACCCATCACAATATAGCAAACTCTTGAGTACCCCTCTGTATTTATGGATTCTTCATCGATTTATCAAGATCCACGGCTTGAACATATCCCCCCAAAAATATAAATTCCAGAAAGAAAACCTTGGTTTTGCCATTTTATATCAGGCAACTTTACTATCTGTTGTATTTAATGGGACTTGAGTATCCACAGGTTTTAGTATCCAGAACTTCAACGTGTTTGTTTAAAATGCTTTATTCAAAACTTAACAATACATATATGTGGAATTAAACAAAACCAGCCTGGATAAGTCTTGCAAAGAGAAATATTTTGAGCCTTTTTGAAGACTCCTTCCAAAATGCATCCAGGGATGGATTTTACTTTCACTAGCCTATACTTCTCTTGTCATTTATTAATATCAATCTCAAATATTAACTTCATATTAATTAATATTATTAACATTAACACTGAAATGTTAATTCCAAGTATTCCTAAATGTCTCTTACGATTTGAAGATCAAGTAGGACCTGCCAACAATGTGCAAATTGTCATGAATTTGTGAGATGATCCACCTACGATTCAGTGCCATTATCAGATCTCCATGCGTAAGTGTTTTATTTTGATTTATGATGCTCAGGATTAGTGAGAGACATCATAATTTGAGTGCTGGATTAAGAATCTGGGAGCTCAGGGTTCGAATCCCTGTTCAGCTATGGAAACCCAGTAGGTGACCTTGGGCACGTCACACTCTCTCAGCCGAAGAGGAAGGCAATGGCAAACCTGCTCCAAACAAGAAGAAAAAAAAAATGCAGTAGGCTCACCATCATTTGCAGTTGACATGAAAGCACATTACAAAGCAGTGCAGATAATATTGGGATTTTATTAATCTCTCTCGATCAGAGATTGGGTTTGGACCTGCAGCATTGGGGGATTCTGGGAATTGCAGTTTTTCAGAAAGGGAACTTCTCCAAGCTCCGCTCAGGAGCATGGAGAATGCTTCTTCTTCATGTGCTGTGCATTTGGGTGATCCATGGAAACGTTGCATAATAAAAACCAATGCATAGTGCAAGTCAACCTGTCTCTTTTGAATTTCAGAATGAGCGGTCATTCATAAGCCACACCTGGGCATCCATGGCTACCAAGTATATACAAAACCTAGCCCAAGGTTTGGTCCCACAACTAGCCTTGGGCCACTCATGTGCAAAGGCAGAACAGGTAAGGCACGTTCCTCGAGCCTTGGAATTTGGCTTTGTAGTTTGTCTGCAGGATTAGAATTCAGTACATGGAGGCATGGGTGGGCAAGCCACTTTGCATCCTAGTGTATTGGCTCGTTTTAGAAATAAGTCCCTTTGTATATTTGATGGCATTTGCAGCATTAAGAGTCTTGAAATGCAGATTATGGAAGAGACTATCTATGGAAGGGGTTCTTGGTTCTTTCTTCGAGGTCTTCTGAAATTATTCTAGCTGTTGCATTTGAATGATCAAGGCAAGACTTCACCGCTGGGATTATTATTGCACGGTAAGCTTCTTATGGATTAATCCTATAATTTCTTTTCCGGGGCCCATTTTGGAGATATCGCGTAATTCGTACAAGGAATAAGTGAACTTATTCTTATTTTCTAGCCCTGTTTTCGATTATAACTGCTGTTGCTGTTCAGTCCTTAGAAAAACTAATGCACAGGTTGGAGGCAAAGACCAAGAGGAATGTTTGGAAACTCTATCACATATCAATGTATTGACAAATTATCGGTGTTGTACCAGAGCTACACTTGGAATATTTAATTTTTTGGGAAATTTTTGGACTATAACCCCCAGAATCACCCAGTCAAAGAACATTTTAACCTCTGTAGGGTAGCCATAGGGTTTAAATACCCAAAGACACCAGATGCTGTCTGATCTTGGAAGCTAAGCTGGGTCAGTCTTGGTTAGTCCTTGGAGAGGAGACTGCCAATGAATCCCAGGTGCTGCAGGCTGTATTTCGGAGGAAAGAACTCACAAAACCATCTCTGAGGATTCCTTCCCTAAGAAAACCCAACAAAAATCATGGGGACACCATATGTCGACAGGTGAAGGCTAAATATCTCACAAAACTGCAAATCCCAGAATTCCATAGCGTGGAGCCGTGGCAGTTAAAGTGGTGTCAAACTACATTATTGCTGCAGTGCGGATGCAGCCTTAGTGTGTATTGCAAATTGCAAGTACTTCACTTACTTTTTAATTTTTCCTCTCCATTCCCATTTTATCTACATCTTCCTTATTTATCTATAAATATCAAAATAATTTATAAGAGTTAACTGAGGTCACAGCAATATTACAAAACTGTTACCCTCTTTTTTTTTTAAATTCCTAGTAATAAATATTACTTAATAGTGAATATGGCATAGAGATAATATAAAAAGGCACTGTAAGAAAAAATAGTGCCTAGTATATGGGTGATGAGGACAGAGGAATTAATATAAAGGTTATAACAGAGAAAGGGAAATATATATAATATTATAACACCAACTTCAGTGGGGCAGGAAGTCAAATATTTGCTATTTGTGGTTTTATTTTGAGCTTTTGTGGCTGTTATCGTTTTTTCCTCTGCATTTTGTTGCATATATTTTTGTATATATGCATGTGTGCATGCATGTCTATACTAGGAGATGTCTTGATTTTCCTTTGTTAATAAACGTATATTGAAAAAAAATTGCTTTTCCCCCCAGGTTTGGGATCCGGCAGATGTAACGTTTGGTTTGTAGGCAGTGTAGTTAGCTGATTGTAATGTTTCCCTGGCAATCACTAGCTTCACTGTCATCAAAACAAAGCGTGGAATTCCCCAGCAGAAAACATCCGGAGAGCCATTTCCTTGCAGGAATCCAAAGAATCGTTGCCTTTGTTTGTGCAAAATATCCTGTTCCGTCTCAGAGGACACCGACTCATCATTGGCTAACAAGACAGTTTTAAAGAAGGATCACGTAGGACAGTGTCCAGATATTTCATTTGGGATTTGCAGCATCTATTAGGATTTTACTGCTAGGCAGGACACGGTCTTATCACTGCAATGGCATCGCCTTCCCGGTGCGTTCCTCCTATTTCTAATGCAGAGGATCCACTAAATTATTTCCAGCATTTCTATGCCACTTTTTTATTTTTAAAACTCCATGGCAGTTCATAATAAAAACTGTCCAGAAGGGTAATAGGGGGAATACAATATAAAAACAATAAAATCCATAAAAGCATAGTGGCATGGAGCCAGAGGAGCAGCTGAGAACTTTCCTAAGCAGCCCCAAAACTCAAGAGCGTCCTTCAAAGAATCCCAATTCCCTCCAGGTAGGATGGCAAGAAGAAATGAAGCTTTTCTTAGGAGTGAAATTGGAAATATAAACAGTGATTAACCTGTGATTAACATGCAATTGCGCAGATGGTTTTCACGCGACGTCAGCGCGCAAAGCGCTGTCGTCCCGTGCAGTATCTGTGATTAACCCGCACTTAACGTACAATTGCGCGAATGGTTTTCACACGACGTTGAGACGAAACGTGATTCAAGTGCCATTATCCCGTGAAGATCCAGGCAAGAAACAACAATAACTCATTCATGGAATTTTCTTGCTGTTTCTTGCCGGGTTCTTCGCGGGATAATGGCACTTGCGTTAATGTCGTTTTAAGCACATTTTAATGTCATTTGCATGCTTTTCGTGGGTTAATCATTGTTTAAGCACCCAATTTCCCCCATTAAATGCATGAAGTTTCCTGGGTTGAGCAGAAAGGAATGTGTCCAAATATTGATAGTCACGTGTTTGTCTTTGCAGGAGGAAAGATGCTAGATCATTGACATTTTAAGCCCTCTTGTGAAAGACAGTTTAGACCAAGTTAGAGAGGAAGCTTGGCACAGTGGTTTGAGCGTGGGACCATGACTCTGGAGACCAGGGTTCGATTCCCCGCTCAGCCATAAAACCCACTGGGTGGACTTGAGCAAGTCACACTGTCTCAGCCTCAGAGGATTGCCATGGCAAACCCCCTCTGAACAAATCTTGCTAGAAAACCCCATGATAGGTTGGTCCTAGGGTTGCCATAAGTGGGAAATGACTTGAAGGCACACAACAACGACAGCAAACCCTTCCCAAGGTGCGACCCTAGGTATTAAACAGGAGCTCCAACGTAAAAGGTAATGACGTCAGAGCTACAAGGAAGAAGAAGAAATGAAGGTGCCAGGTGTGAATTTCAAACGGACCGTCATCAGCCTCGTTACCAGGCAGTGTAGTTAGCTGATTGACGAAGCAACAGTCACTAACAACACAGCCAGGTGAAAGGGCCAACCTCCCATCGGACTAGGAAATTTTTGTCTGCAACAACTCTGTGGCAACCAAGGCTTTGGGAAGCTCATCGTATTGTGCTTTGGCACCACGAACCCACATGCCATTTTTGAAGACCCCACATCCCCTCCGTTTCCACTGCAAAACAATATATGTTTATATAATTAACACGTTCCCGGACATCCACTATACTTCTTTGTGTTTTATTTTTTAAAGGCTCTCCTTGGTCTAAAACAGCCCAGGAAAGCTTCAAAACCATTATTGGTTTGAGTCTCCCTGATCCGAAATACTTGGAACCAGAAGCATTCTGGATTTTGGAGGGATGCTTTTTTTGGATTTTGGAATATTTGCACTTACGTGATGATATATTATTACCCTTAAGAGTTAGCATGGTGTAGTGGTTTGAGTGTTGGACTCCGACTTGAGAGCAGGGTTCGATTCCCAATCCAGCCATGAAACCCACTAGGTGACCTTGGGTCAGTCACGCTCTCTCAGCCTCAGGGAAAGGCAATGGCAAACCTCTGAACAAAACCTTGCCAAGAATACCCAATGGTAGTCTCACTGTAGGGTCACCATAAGTCGGAAACGACTTGAAGGCACACAACAAGAACAAGGTTGTGCATTTAGGAATATGCTGGTTATTGAAAATATATCAATGTATTCCTCTCCTGGCCTCCCTGGGCTATCAAACAATATAATACATTTGCCCACAAGGCTTTAGTTATGTAGGGAAAGTAACTATGTTCCTCCAACTGTCCCAATTTGGCAGGGACAGTCCCAATTGATCGGTTCTCATCCCACTTTTTCAGCTACTTTTATAATGTCCCAGTTTCCTTCTACTTCCCCCTTTATCCTCAGCTTAACACAATTGCTGCAAACAAATCTATGTGCAAAAGTAGATTAAGCAGAAAGGAGTGGCAATCTTGATATTCCCAGGAGGTTTGGGCAAAAGCAAACTGCTGCATCCTTTCCTAGATTTTCTGTTCTTCCTCATTAATAACTTTTAACATCTTATCCAGACTCTGACATTGCTTGGCCGCAAGTGTATTGTGGTTTTCATCTGAAAAATGTCAGTAGGTCTGAAGTCCCAATGTGCAATGCTCACACCAGGGCGAAAAGTATTTAAAGTATTTTTCATGCTTGCAAATAAAAAGTAGACAATAAGGTGGCTATTCCTACTGTAAATGCCACTCTGATTGGGAAATCATCCATTCTTTCATCCCAGAGAGGTGCAAGTCATCCTGAGCTGAGTCAAATAAAGTTACTTAAGAAGAGAAATATTGCCAAAGCAGAATTAATTCGGGAGGATTAAATGGCACTTGGCAGCGTTTAGGAAACTGTAAATGTTAATACGCCTGCTTTGTCACTGTCATTTTAGCACTTTGGGTGCATCTGTGGGGCTTTTTCTTTTGGCTTTGTTTTCTTTTTTTAGTGCATGCTCAATCGCATGATCCATTCGATTGCCATTTTAAAGATAATGAAACTCTTGGCAACCCCATAAAGACTAGATTTATTCTATCAGTCGTCTTATAGCTTAGAGGGTTGGTTTTTTTAACTAAAATTCACCGGAGGAATTGGAACCTTAAGCCAAAATGCAGAATCGATAAGACAGATGTGCAATGGGCAGAGGTTCAGGAAGATGTATTCATTTAAAACAGTATATATATATATATATATATATATATATGTGTGTGTGTGTGTGTGTGTGTGTGTATATATATATATCTCCGCAATGGCAGTTAACGTGGTGTCAAACTGGATTGTCTCTGCAGTGCGGATGGCAAGGGAACGGCAGCGTTGAACCGGAGTGAGGGAGAGTGAGGCCTGCACGGCGTCCATTTTGTCTGAGGCCTTGGTGGCCGCCATGGAGACGCAGCCCAGCCAGACCAGGCCCTCGGCCCCATCCCTGCTGCCCCCGCCGCCGTCTCAGGCGGCCGCCTTGGCCTCGGCCGGAGTGCCCCTGGTCTTCACGGGGTCCAGCGAGAAGGACGTGGCCCTGGCCAAGAGCTTCTGGAACTCGGTCACCCTCCAGCCGCCCCTCGAGTCCCGCCTCAGCCCCAGGAGAGGCTCCGGCGTCAGCGGAAGCACCACCAGCTCCAGGAGGGCCTCCAGCACCAACAATCCCAATGGCCCCGGTACTAGAGAGCCCCTGGGCAAGGAAA